TGCTTTTTCTCCTTAGACAAAACAGGTTTTCTTGACTTCACTTTATGGTTCTTGAGATATAAAAATATTTCTTCTTGAATTCTTCTATATTGAATAAAGATATTATACTCTTGCCTCTAAAAGTTTCTCTGAAATATACTCATTATATTAAGTGTTTTTATTATTTTTCTTTCTTTTTTTTTGTTTTTATTTTGTTTTTGTTTTGTTCTTTTGTTTTCTTTCTCTGTTTATTCACATTACTTACTCTTGGCACGTTATCAAATAGTATAGTTACTGCCACCCAGTGACAATACTATAGTTTGGCAATGACGCTTTAAAAACTTCTGTGCAGATTGTGATTTTTTTTTTTAATTTAATTTTTTTTAAGTTAAAATTATAAGTTTTTTTTTTTTTTATTATTAAAAATTTTTTTTTTTAGTTTCTTTTTTTTCTTGTTCTTCTTTCTTGTTCTTTTTCTGCTTCTTCTTGTTCTTTCTATTTTCTTTTTTTTTCTTTTTATTTGTTAGTTTTTCTTTCTTGTGTAATTTTGTTTGTACTAATCATCTTCTTGTTATACGTAGCACCATTGTACTACCTCAAAAACTATTGTTATATTTTATATATATCATAGTTTTTGTAACAACCAGGTGATTCCAAAAATTATATTTTTGAGCAACGTTATACAAAATTTTTTTTAAGTTTGCAATTTCTATATACTGTTTATTTTGTTTAATTTTTAATACTATTTTTATTTATAAATTCTATTTAAAATCAAAAATTGCTTTTTTTTAAATAGTTATTTTTTATATAAATTTTTTTTTATTAAGTATTCTCTTGTATATAATTATAATATAGAGTGATAAGCTGAAATCGTAAATAATACTCTGGCAAGTATTAGCTCTATAGTATAAATTTTATTATTTTGAAAATATAAAGTAATTGCTGAAATCGTAAATAGTACTCTGGCAAGTACTAGCTTTATCATTTTCAGTTCTTTAATTATAATATAAAGTGACAGCTAAAGTCATGAATAATACCTTGGTAGGTATTAGCTTTATATTGTAAGGAATCTAAAAAGCCAAATATAGCCATCGACAGTTTGTTTCTTAGTACTTCTTCCTTTGGTTATAACTTAGGATATCTCTAAGTATCTAATACTCCTTGAAAAACTAGTACATAAAGATCAATAAATTAAACCTCTTATCTGTCTATTGAAAGTCTTATAGTACCTTTGGAGGCTATTGAATTTAGATTCCCATTACTATTATTATTTTTTTTTTGTTTGTTTTTACTCTTATATTTTTTACTTTTATTTTTTTTTTATTTTTATTTTTTATTTTATTTTTATTTTTATTTTTATTTTTATTTTTATTATTATTATTATTATTATTTTTTATTATTTTTTTATTTATTTAATTATTTTTCTTGCCAAGTTCTTCTTTCTTTCTTCTTCTTATTTTTTTTTTATTTTTATTTTTATTTATTTTATTTATTTATTTATTTATTTATTATTATTATTATTATTATTATTATTTTTCTTTTGAAACTTAATTTTTTTTCTATGCAAACTTTTTCTCAACAAACCTTTAATTTTTCTTGAAATATTTTGGGTATATTCCTACTGATAAGCAATACTTTGATCTTTGTCAAGAAATTGAATTAGCTGCTTTTACACTTCAATCCAATACTCCTCTAACATCTAAACAAACCTTTCTTCTCTTTGAATATTCTCAATTTTGTGGATTTTCTTGGGCTAACGGAAAAAACCCTCAAACAAAAAGATATTAGAGCCAAGAAGAAATAGTTGACCAAGATTTCAATACAACTTATACACCAATATATTATTTGGAAGCATCTAATTCTAACAACCCAACTGGTACCATTTATCAATTACCTAATCGCCAATCTCAACAACCAAATGTTCATTTCTATACTGCTGCTGAATTCTTCAACTTAAATCGCTACGAACAAGAAATACAACAGGGTATAGTTTCTAAGGATGGTATTAAGCAGCTATATAAATTTCGACAACAACACAGATTTGCAACTAATCTTGATTAATTCTTTATGAATATTGCTCTATATCAAAACTGAATTTGAGAGCATAAATTTTTGCATGATACTAATCAGGTAGTTACAAAATTAAGATACAATTCAAGACCAGATTCTAGCTGTCCTGAGTACAATTCTCCTGAACTTAGTTCACAAAATTCAAATCAGTTTATAAAATTTTGAAGTTGGTTTAATCAAAAGTATCAAGCTATCTATTTTATTTGTATAACTGTTGATATTTTTGAAGAGGCATATTAATCTGTAAAGGACGAACAATTCTTTGAAACTCTTATTTATTTGTTATTAACTACTATTCGATATAATAATAATTAACCACCTAAAGAGTTTAATCAAATAATACCAGAAGTAAAAGCTAAGTGGATAGCAACAAATAAATTTAACTATTCACCTGAAAATTCTGAAAAATCTAATCAGGAAACTGATACTGAATCTAGACTTGAAATTTCATATTCAGAGTCTCTTTCAACTAATCCTTCTGTAAATAAATTAAATAAAAAGTTTAAAAAAGCAAACAAACAAATTCAACAAGGTATAAGCTGAGCTAAAACTATTATTGGACAACTAAAAGACAATCTGGAGCCTACAGAAACACCTTTGATATCAACTTCTCAAAATCCTCCTCTAAACATAAATAATCAAAATAAAAATACTGAATCTTTAAATTTTGAAAAAGCTTACTTTAATACTATTAATCAAAGTAGAAATATGTATCGATGTACAAGATCAGAAGGAAATTACTCATATAAATAATAGACCAACTATAGAAGAACAAACTAATATGTATATTCCTGATGATTCTCATGGAATGGTTGAAGCTTGTAGAGCACCAGTTGACTTTACCAACATGTGTCAACACCAAGCACAAAATCAACAACAAACCCCTCCTCCTAAATTTGATAATCAACAAGCACTTCAAACACTTTTAAGAGACATAAATGAAATGTTTGAAATTAATGCTGCCCGAGCTGCAGTAGCAACAACAAATCCTAAAGAGTATAAATTAATTGACTTTCCTATTTTTTTAGGAGATAATAATAAAGACCCAATAGAATGGATTGAAGCCTTTACTAGAGCATGTATTGGTAATAATGTAAATGAAACTAGAAGGCTAGCAATTGTACCAAATTTTCTCAAAAGAAATACTCTTTCTTGGTATAATCAAAACAAAGATAGCTTTCAAGTTTGGAAAAGCAATATCCATCCTACTCATGCATTTACAAATCTATTTGAACAAAAATTCTGTAATCCTTTTAAAGTAACTCAATGGCATTATACTCTTCGAAGTAGAAAACAAAAAACTAGTGAAACTATAGATGCATATAATTTTGCTCTTAATGAATTATGGTGCAGAGTAGATCCAGAAAATAACTACCCAGAAATGGACAAAGTTAGACAATTTGTTGATGGTCTTCGCCAGGAATTTCAAATCCCAGTACAATCTGAAAGCTCTATTACTCTTAATCAAGCCGTAAATAAAGTTAGAGCTATTGAAGTAGCCTACTCTAAAGGAGGTGCTCTTTCTGCTTATTCACTTCTGCTTACTTCTTTTCAACCACAGTTCTATAGAGGATATACTACTTCTGCTTATTTAGCAGCTCTTACTCAACCACAAACTAGTAGACGTGAAGAGTTGATAGAAGTTGCACAATATGTAGTTAGAAATATACAGCAAAACCAATAGCAAAATCAATCTTCTCAAAATCAAAACCAAAACAATAATTATAATAACAATAATTATAATAACAATAATTATAATAATAACAATTATAGACCATCTCGGCAAAATAATAATTGCTTTAGATGTAACCAACCAGGACATTTTGCATCTAATTGTAATACTCCTTATTGCAATAACTGCCAACAAATAGGATATATGGCTAGAAACTGTCAATTGGAGACCTAACAACAATAACTATAACAATAATAATCGCAACAACAATAATAATTAGAACAATAACAATAATCAGTATAATAATAATTGGAATAACAATAATAACCAAAACAATAATAACTGGAACAATAACAATAATCAGTATAATAATAATTGAAATAACAACAATAACCAAAACAACAATAATTGGAACAATAACAATAATCGAAATAACAATAACTATAATAACAACAATAACCATAATAACAACAATAACCATAATAATAATAATTGGAACAACAACAATAACAATCGTCAAAATAATAATAACAATAATTACAACAACAATAATAACAACAACAATAATCCTCCTCCTTCTAACAATAATAACAACAATAACAATAATAACAATAATAATAATAACAATAATAACAACAATAATAATAATAATCAACATCAGCATTTAAACTAGAAGTGGTATCTCCAGAGGGTGAGTATACCCAAAACCAAAACCCCTTATTCAATAAAGAAGAAATAATATACTTGTTTTTGTTGGATGAAATAGATGAATTGTTAGATAAAGAAGATAATAATAATAGTGATTTAGAGAACCAATTTCATAATCTTTGGACTGAGTATAATGAAACAATAGAAATACTCGGATTGAATACAGGTGAAATTAATTATAATATAAACAATATTGTTCAAACAAATCAGGTTAAAGATGCTTTATTTACTACTGCTGAGGTCTTGGGAGTTACAATTAATGTTTTGATTGATTCTGGCTCTAAAGGATGTGTTGTAGCTAAACATTTTCTTGATAAAGTTAATCGTAAAATAGATGAACCTAGTAATATTAGAGTTGTTGATATTACTGGTAATAAAACTACTCCATTAGGGCGTGTTAAAAATGTACCTGTTTTATTTAGCACCAAATTAATATATATAGATATGTTAGTAACTGAATCTAAGGAATATAATGTAGTACTTGGTAATGAATATTTGGATCAAGTTCAAGCTACTATTGATTATTATAGTGAATATATAAATATTGAAATGGGTGACCAAGTAGAATATATCCCAATATCTTGTAAACAACAAATAGAAGATCCTAATACAATATATCCAATTAACTTTAAAAATCTATATTCTAATCAGGAACTGGAGTTAGAATTGGAAAATGATGAACCTACTGAGCCAATTTATACTACTATTTAAGTTGGAAATACCTTTTCTCAACTTGATAAACAACTTATAGCAAATGTTAAAATAGAAAATATTGACAATCCTCCTCTTCCAGATATATTTAAACTAATTCAACCAGAAATAAATAAAATAAAAGACAAGAGAAAAAGAAGCCCAGAAAGTTTCTATACATATTACTAAGGATAAATCAACCTTTATTGGATATACATTAAATAATAATCAACAACAAATTATAACACAACTACTCCGTAACAATGCAGATATCTTTGCTACTACTTTTGCAGAATTAAGTAAAACTAATATTGTATACCATACTATCAATACAGGTGATTCCTATCCTATTAAACAAAGAGCTTACTGAGCCTCACCAATGAAACAAGAGTGTATTGAAAAAGAAATTTTACAAATAGAAGAGGATGGTATTATTCGAAAATCTAAAAGCCCTTGGAGCTCTCCAGTTGTTTTTGTTAAAAAGAAAAATGACAAGTTAAGATTTTGTGTAGATTTTAGAAAACTAAACAATATAACAAAAAAGAATACTTACCTATTACCAAGGATTGATGAAATGCTTGATAACCTTGGTAATGCTTAATGGTTTATATCTTTAGATTTAACTTCTGGATATTGGCAAGTAGAAGTTAAAGAGGAAGATAAGGAAAAAACTGCTTTTGTTACCAAATATGGCTTATATGAATTCAATGTAATGCCTTTTGGATTATGTAATGCTCCTTCTACCTTTCAAAGGCTTATGGATATAGTACTAAGACCTGTTCTTTGGAAAAAGGCTATGGTTTACATTGATGATATAAATATATATTCAGATTCATTTGAACAACATATATTGGATATTCAGGAAGTATTTAGCTTAATAATACAAGCTAAACTTCATATTAACCCACAAAAATGCTATTTTTGTACTAATGAAATGCAGTTTTTTGGGCATATAATTGGGATTAAAAGAATTAGACCAGATCCTCAAAAGATTGATAAACTAAATGATCTTTCTCCTCCCAAAAACCTTACTCAGCTTAGAGCTTTCTTAGGGTTAGTATCTTATTATAAACATTTTATTGAAGGATTTTCTAAGAGAGCTGAACCTTTGTTAAAATTATTAAAAAGAGATGAACCTTTTATTTGAGGAAAGCCCCAAGATGAGATTTTTAGTTGGTTAAAACATTGTCTAACACATTCTCCTATATTACAATATCCTGATTACTCTGAACCTTTTATTCTTTTTACTGATGCTTCTTATCAGGGACTAGGTGCAGTTCTCTCTCAAATCAAGAATGGCAAAGAGCATGCAATTGCTTATGCTAGCCGAACCTTAACTCCTGCTGAAACAAATTATAGCGCTGTAGAATTAGAATGTTTAGCAGTTGTTTGGGCTGTCAAATATTTTAGACATTATATCTATAGAATGAGATTTACTCTAATAACAGATCACAAGGCACTACAATAGTTGTTAAACTCTTATACAATTAATGACAATAAACGGATAACCTGATGGAGGATGACTCTCCAAGAATACCAGTTTGATATTAAATATCGAGCTAGTAGCCGGAACAAAAATGCTGATTTTCTTTCTCGCTTATCAGAATACCTAAAAGATAATAGATAGCAAACTATATAATTAGCTATATTAATATCTTTCCTCTCTACAATTTGACTTGGACATTTCTAATACAGACAAATCTCGAATCCAAAAAGAAGCAAAACATTACTTTATAGAAAATAACAAGCTATATAAAAGAAATAAGGATAAGCCCCAACGAGTAATCAAACCAGACCAAAACATCTTATCTTGTATACTCTACATGATGAACAAGGGGTACACTTAGGCATCTTAACTACTTTTAATAAAATAAAAGAAAGATATTATTGGCCTACTATGTACAATGATATCAATAATTATATTCAAACATGTGATATTTGCCAACGAAGAGGACATGAAGTTAGACGGCAAGATCTATATCTCTTGGAAGTAAAATATCCTTTCCATAGAGTTAGAATTGATATTAAAGGACCTCTATCTCCAACTAAACAAGGTAATAGATATATTATTGTAGCTATGGATTATTTAACTAAATAGCCAAAAGCAAGAGCTATAGCTGACATAAAAGCTATAACCATTGCTAAATTTATATATGAAGATATTATTTGTTGACATGGAATACCTACAATATTGCTATCTAACTGAGAAACAAATTTTCTAAGTGATATTGTAAAGGAATTGTGTAATAACTTTCAAATAAAATATCATAAATCATCTACTTACTGTCTACAAACAAATGGAATGATTGAACAATTTAACCATACTATGGGAGAAGCTCTTGCAAAAATAACAAGCTATAAATACAAGGAGTAAGATGAAATTCTTCCTTCTGTATTATTAGCTTACCGCACTATGAAACATAGTACAACAAAATTTACTCTATTCTCCCTTATATATAGACGTGATGCAAAATTACCTATAGAACCAATTGTAGAAACCTATTATAAGGAAGATGAATCATTTCAAGAAGCTCTTTTAAAAAGATCTTTTGAAATAGAGGATGTTCTATTAAAACAGCAAGATGAAGCCTTGGAAAATATACAAGAGGCACAAAAATCACAAAAAGAATATCATGACAAAAATATTAAAATTGATAAATTAAAAATAGATAATAAGGTTCTAGTTGCAAAATCTTTTCTTAAAAATATTTTTTCTGCTAAATTAAAAGAAAAATTTATGGGCCCTTATATTATTCATGATATATTAGAATTTGGTGTTTATAAACTAAAAACTTTTGATGGCAAAAAAGTTAAAGATCCAGTTCATAGTAACCGTTTAAAGCTTTATCATGATAGAGAAATTAAGGATCTACCAGTTCCTCAAGTTATCATAGCACAAGGCAATAATAAATAATATATAAAAATAGAATATATAACTTTTATTTATTATTTATTTAATTTTATTATTAAAAAAAAAAAAAAAAAATATTTTTTTTTTATATAACTTTTACTTATTTATTACTCTAATTTTTTTATTACTTTATTTATTAATTAAAACATTTTATTCAATAATTTATTAAATTTAAACATTCAAAAATTTATTAAAAATAGTAAATAAAATTGAAAAAATAATAAAAGAAAGTGCAAACACCTTCTTCCAATTAAAACCTCAACTATTTTCTAACTCCTCAATTCTACCTTGCAATCTCCAATTTTCTATTCGCAATATATAATTATTGGATGCTGTATTCAAGGCATGGACCAACAACCTATTTCATTCTTGCCGCAATATCCCAACCTGGACATTGAAGTCATGCTCTCGTTGAGCAAGCTCATCTGAATTAAATTCTTGTAGTTGGGCTTGCAGGTTAGCTACTTGGTTGGTTAAACGCCGAATTGTAGCTGAAACAGATTGGGTGCGAGAGGTGCGAGGCATCTAAATAAACTGACAACAAAGGCTATTAGAAAAAGAATATTTTTTCCAAGATAGATATACTAAAAATTATTCAAGGCCATGTGTTCAATCATAGCAAGTATAAAGGTACCAGCTCACTCGAATATGAAAAACTGGCGGGTGCTTTAAAAATATAAACTAATAAGGTTAGCTCACAGTACAAAAGTATACAAACCTTCAACAAAAGGAAAACAACAAAAGACCAAACAAAAAAGTTATTGAGGAAAAAAAAAAACTATAGAAAAGAGAAAAAGAGTTTTAGATAAAAAAAAGTTTTAACAAAACAAAAGAAAATAATAGAGAGATTATTACAAGAAAAAACTTTGTATGTTTAGAGCTTGAAAATCTCAAAATCTATAAGAAAAACAAGAATATAAATAGAATTAGGTTATGATTAATTTTTTCCCACGAGAAAATTATCATCTGCAAGGTAAACAATGCGAGTGTGATTACTAAATTGGGAAATGGATAAGCAAAGCAAAAACTAAAAGCTAATTTTAGTACAAAGTTAATAATATTGTTCGGAAATGTTGTATTTTAAGGGAGAGAAAAGCAGAGAACTTTGAAAAAAAAAAAAACACATGGTTGTTAGAAAATTTTTCCTAACAAGTATTGCTAAGCATCGCTAAGTAATACAAAATAGAATTTTTATATGTAGGTGTTCTAGAAAATAAACTATATAGTAGATAAAAGAAAACATACATGGAAAAAGTAGTAGTAAAACTAATAATATATACCCAGATACAGAAAATTTTTTTATTTTAGTAATATAGTATATAGTTTTACAAGATCATGTGTTCAAATTGTACTAGAAAAATCATACTTGGGTATACTAAAATAATATTAGCAATCGCAACATATTATATCTTTATTATATTTATTTATTTATTTATTTTTTTTATTTTTATTATTTTTATTTATTATTTATTTATTTTTTATTATTATTTTATTATTATTATTTAGCTAAATCGCTAAAAAACCCTTATAGTTTTATTATTTATAGAAAATTTTATATACAAATAAGGAAAAAAGAAAGTAATATTACAAAGAAGAGAAATCACATGATTGCAACCTTCTACATTTAACAAACTTAAATGAAGCTGATTTCCTGCTTAAAATACGCTATTTAAGCCATTTTTTTAAAAAATTTTGCTTTAGAAGCAAGTGAAAAATCATATAGAAGATAAGCCTGGTTCCATCTTGAAGCATGTTAATATTATTTTCAAAAAGTAGTAGAAAACACAAAGCTAAACGGACTGCTGCTTTTCTTTTTGGCAAAGAATAGACCTTGATTTCTTGAGAAGAGTTTTGGAATAATGTATGCCGACGATAAGAGGCTTGATAAATCTTAACCTTATTGCTCTTAAAAAAGAGAGGCTGGATTACTTGTTTTCTTAACATGGAACTTTTATAGAGCATAGTTAATAAATTTTTTTTTTTTTTTGGTTTATTCAGTATGAAAAATCAGTTGAAAAATTGTTGATGAATTATACTGAGCTGTTCTTTTTATTTTGAAAATATATATATATGTTATTTTAATTTTTAGTTTCATTATTATTTTTTTTTTTTGTGTTTATTTATTATTTGTTTACTTATTATTTGTAATACTATTTACTAACTTCGTAAATTTTGCAGAGCAAAATTTTTCGAAGGAGGGAGTAGTGTTATATTAGCATATTTTTTACTTTTTATTATTATTTTTTTTATTTTATTTTATTATATTTTTTATGTGATA